CTACTACTACTACTACTACTACTACTACTACTACTACTAGTGCTACGACTATCACTACTACTACTACTACTACTACCACTACTACTACTACTACTACTACTATCCTTACTACTACTACTACTACTACTATTACTACTACTACGACTGCTACTATTATTACTACTACTACTACCACTACCACTACTACTACTACTACTACTACTACTACTACTACTACTACTACTACTTACTACTACTTACTACTACTTACTACTACTTACTACTACTTACTACTACTTACTTCGGACGCTTCGTTAATTACTACTACTACTACTACTACTACGTCGACTACTCACTACTACTACGACGAAACTACGAGTACCACTACTACTACTACTGCTGCGACTACTTACTACTACTCTTTTACTTCTACTTTACTACTACTACTACTACTACTACTACTACTACTACTACTACTACTACTACTACTACTACTACTACTACTACTACTACTACTACTACTACGACTACTACTACTACTACTACTACTACTATACTACTACTACTACTACTACTACTACTACTACTACTACTACTACTACTACTACTACTACTACTACTACTACTACTACTACTACTACTACTACTACTACTACTACTACTACTACTACTACTACTACTACTACTACTACTACTATTACTACTACTACTACTACTACTACTACTACTACTACTACTACTACTACTACTACTACTACTACTACTACTACTACTAGTACTACTAGTAGTACTATATGTTTCGGTCGTCCTAACACCTGCTCATCACGCCTCCTGCTCCTCCTCCCTCCTGTCTTCAAATCCTGCTTACTCCCCCTCTCTACTTTGCTGTTCCCCTTGCCCCTCTGCTCCCCCGCATCATCAGAAATGCGATCGCTGGGTATATCACATGGGCCAAGAATTCATGCATCCAAAACTGGGCGGCGTTGCGCCCAATCGGAGAGTGAGGCGGAAAAAGGAGCAGGGCAGGTTAATTGGAGCAAACCCAAGCGCCGTCGCATTGCATCAATATGCCAGGCTTGAGGTACACTCGCCGTAACAGTCTCGCGGCTGGCGCCAGACGCAAGCGACTGGGGGGTAAGAGCACGCCCAAAATATGGACAACTTGAGCTGTAAGCTGAAAGGCAATGCCGATGGCGTCGCACATCGGCGCCCTTTCGCTGGCGTATCGCACTTCGACAACACCCAGACTAGCACACGATTAAGTATTAATTCAGCCATACTCGAAACAAAGTGCGTATGTCTGGTCGACTTAAAAATGAAGGCCGACGCCAGCTGTGCATGAGCAACTCGGCTTCAGAATTACCGCGCGCTCGCTACGCTGCGGCCAGGGGCGTGTCCTCCTCCTCCTTGATGCCGCCGAGGAGCTTGGAATGGTTGCTCTGGCCGCTCTTCTGCCGCGCGAACTCGCTGGCCCCGCTCAGCTGCCGCTCGAACTGCGACTCCAGGGCCACCGACTGCTTCACCTCCTCCGCCTGAGAGTGAACGTAGATGTCGTGCACGAGGGCGAGGCCGCAGTACAGGCCCGCGGGCATCAGGAGCGTCCAGATCTCGAAGGCGTTGTAGGCGATGGAGCCCAAGCACGCGCCCCCGATGAATCCGGCAAGGAGAAGACTCATGAGAATCCGCCGATGCCCGCAGGCTGGGGGTGGAAAGGCGTGTGAGGCATCCGGCTGTCCCCCTCCCCATCTCCTCCTCCCCCAGGGGGCCAGGGGAAGGGAGGGTGGAACGAGGTCGGCAGCGCACCTCCAGGGTCCTCGCAGCCTCCAATTCCACCACCCGTGACCGCCAAAAAATCAGCGGGAGGCCTTCCAAGATGGCTCAGGAAGGGCTACAGCACGCCAGATAAGCCTCAAGACGGCCCGAGAGGCCCCAGGAGAACCCCAAGAGGACTCCCACGAGGGCACCCAGAGGAAAAAGCATTGATTTCCCTGAGGCTGTGAACATTTCGCAAGCCCTGGGAAAACCCCCAGGAGGGCCCTAAGGCAGCCCAAGACGACCCAAGCAGCACCCCAAGACGGCAAAGGAAGGCTCTCAAGAGGGCCCCGCGAGGGGCCCAATAGAGAGAGGCCCAGGGAGGGGGAGCTCGCAGGGGCCCAGGGCCCCCGCGGGAGCCCTCCAGGGGGCCCCCAGTCGGCCCCCCAAGGTTGGAGGCCCGGAAATGGGCACCAGCACCAACACGGGGGGCCGCCTCCACAGGGGTGAGATAGTCCCAGGTTTCGGTGTTGGTGGTAATCTTTCGGTCACCCTGAAAGTTCGAATATGACCACCATCATCGAGATCGGGATCGTCATCCCTCGGTGGAAGCAGACCGCCGATATTGGTGGTGGTGTCAACCTCCAGGCCTGCAGCCCCCAAGGGGCCCTGAAGAGGCACCCGCGAGGCCGCCCGAGGCGTCCAAGAGGGCCCCCAGGAAGCCCCACGACGGACGCGGAGAGCAAGGAGAGCAGAGCAGCAGCAGCGGCACGCATGGAGCACGACGGGAGGCAACACAAACAACACATGCGGCATCGGACGCCGCAAATTTCCCCTTCTGAGGGTCGGGTGAATGGCGTCCTCTTGAATCCACGTCCGGACTAGAGTTAGGTCAGGCATGTCCTCCTACAGGCGGATCTTAGACGAAAAATCAAGCATGACAAAATTGTTCATGCATAGTCAGAGGCACTCGAAAACAGTTCCCATGCTGTTTGTTTAAACAATTTGCGAATGTTTCTCCTGTAGAGGGACGCGCCGTGCAGCGTATCGGCAGTCCGACAAGAAGGGTGTGTGGCGCAAGGGTCAAGTCACGATGCGTCAGAGAACATTGCCCTTTACAGAGCAGCCCCCCTGAATCCCCCCCACTGTGGCCGCAGCCGAGTCACCGACCCATGCCGACCACTTTACAACATCACCTCGAAACGTGCCCAAACCCACGGTAAATCACCGTTGTTTGCTTCTCGGACTGCCTAGGGGCCCAAGACGGCCTCGAGACGGCTCAAGATGGCTTCAACCCAGATGGCCTCCAGAGACCCCAAGAGGCCCCCAAGATGGCCCCAGAGGGCCCCAAGGGGACCCCCAAGAAAGAGCGCATCCAGATGCCAAAAGCCATCTTTTCCTGTGGTAATTCAATGATTCTAGCATTTCCACATGTTTGGATTCTCAGGGGCCGATGACGGTCCAAGCAGCCTCCAAGATGGCCCCCATACAACCCAAGAGAGCCCCAAGACGGCCCAGGGAAACCCCAAAATGGCCCAAAGAGGCCCCCGAGACGGTACAATGACGCCCTCAAGACGGCCCAGGACAACCCCAAGAGAGCCCCAAGGCGGCCGCCTCCGAAAGGGCCAGACGGCGCAAGAGCGCCCCTGGACGGTCCAAGGCGCCCCAAAGAGACCCTCCATAGGGGTCCCCAAGAAGCCCCAAGAGGCCCCCAAAGCTTCCAAGAGGCCCCCAAGAGGCTCTCATGAGTCCCCACAGAGAACTACTGGACTGTACGGAGTCTGGATGTGCACCCCGCGAAGCGAGAGGAATCACCTTGTTCCTGTCCGCGGTATGCTCTTCCCAATCCTCTGGCGTAAAATTGGTGCGCTTCGTCAAAAACCTGGCGATGATTCGACCAATGGCTAAGCCCAGGTCCGTGCCAGTTCCGGTCATGTGGGTCGTGCGAATGACGTTTCCGCTCCAAGACGAGCAGAGCCCGTTCTGGAGGCCGCAGCCAAGGGCCAAAAGGTGCGCGCCGAGAATACCGTGGCCGCGCAGGACTATCGGGCTGGCCATGATGAGCGCGAGCATCATGAGGGCAGACGAGTAGGGCGCCTTGCCGATCTTGAGCGTCGCCTTGGGGATGAGCAGGCCGCACAGGGTCGACCCGATGATGAAGTCAAGAACGAGCAGCGCCGGCGTTGGCACGTCCCCGGGCTGGTCTCCAAACTGGCGGAGCCCGATCGCCGTGGAGGAGCCGGAGACGTGGCTGACGTACGTGGCGAACTTGGCAAACGCCACGGCGTTGACCATGCCGGCGCAGACCGCCAAGGTCAGGCCGCTCACGTGCACGCCGATCTTCTCGCTGTTGCTGCTGATGGCCTCGAGCACCGCAAGCCTCTCCTGGAGCGCGGCGCGGAAGTGGCGGCTGTCGAGCGCTTCGCCGATGGACCCCAAGGCCTCGTCACTGATCATCATGGACTGCGAACGTGGCAACATGCTGGGCATCTTCGCGCACCGAGCAAGTAGGACTCCGAGTCACTGAATTAAGCCAGGCGGCTTGAGTCAGAATGACTTGAGCGAAAATTGCTACGCAGCATGTTTTGCTCCTGTCTTGGGGACTGTCATACCCTTTGGAATCCAGTGGAGGCTTCCTGGGTTATCTTAGAGGCCTCCTGTAACCCCAGATTGGGTTATCTTGGAGCCCTCTTGAGCCCTCCTGGTTCATCTTCGATATCTCTTAGATCCAGAGAGAAGATTCGACATCCAAACACGTCAGAAACTCACGTCTGGCAAGAGGAGCGCGAAACGACAAAATGATCGGGGCACAACGTGCCAGAAAAATATTAAACGGGCCCCCCCGAGAGGGCTCGACGGAACCAACGGGTTCAACGAGCACCCTGCAAGGTGCTCGGAACCCACTAGTTGGACGCCAAGCCGTCCGACCACAAACCATGCTTCAGTGCGTCGCCCTCGCCGTCGCCGACGCCGTCGCCGTCGTTGTCCCGGAGGCTCGACTTGCAGCACTAGGAAGACGACGACGACGACGACGACGACGACGACGACCACGACGACGACCACGACGACGACGACGACGACGACGACGACGACGACGACGACGACGACGACGACGACGACGACGACCGCGCGGCGGCGACGACGATCACGACGTCGATGAGGACAAAGGCGCGACGGCGACAGGCAGCAGCCGAATTGCCTCCAAGAAGCTCGCGGATGCCTGATGATACCATCCGGAATCCGTCCATGGAAGCCCTCAGATAGGGAGCCCACCAAAGGACGTACGCGCCCAGCTATGTACATGAACACGGCCACTTGACCCGCGAGACCGGCCGCGTGATACGAGTATTCGCGCAATGCGAAATCTCGAAAACAGCGTGGGTTCGTGTACGTGTACGTCCTTCTTTCGCTCTTGACAAGACGCACCCTGGAAGCAAAAGCGGCGCTCCCCGGACGCACCGCAAAAACCACGGGAAACGAACTGCAAGAGAGGGGTCGGCGGATGTGGCGTCGGCCTGTTGAATCAACAGGGCCCAACGTGCAAGAAGAATGTCAAGCAAACATGCACAGAACAACATGCTGAAAACAGCCTTGTGTTTTTGGAACGTGGCGTGGCCTGAACCAGCACGGTTGTGGCAAGCACGGTAGCTGGTGCCCCTGGCACCTCCCAGCGACGGGAGGCTAGATACATAGATACATATCTATATATATATATATATACATATATACATATATATATATACAGATATATATATATATATATATATATATATGTATATACATCTATGTGCCTATACGACCACCCTTCGGGTGATGAGGAAATTGTTGACGCTTCGCGAATCCCCACCACCCCATCCAGAAACGATGCCCAGAGGAATTGCCTGGATGAGGGGAGTGGGCAGCACACAGAGGAAGCCATTATGAGACATCTTGGGATATCTTGAGCCATCTTGGAGGTCATCTTGGGCTCTCCCAGGCGCTCTTGGAGTCATCTTAACGAGTGCTCCCCCCCAAGAGGCCAACATGTGGCTAAAACCTTCGTGAAATCAATGATTTGGCATTCTCGCCGAGGCCTCTTGGAGCATCTTGTGTGCCTCTGGGGGGTCTCTTGGGGCCTCTTGGGGGTCTCTTGGGGGCCTCCTGGGGGCCTCTTGGGGGCCTCTTGGGGCCACATTGGGGCCATCTTGGGACCTCTTGGAGCCTCCTGGGCGCTTCTTGGGGCCATCTTGGAGGAGATCGATCAAACAAGAGGGGAGTATTAATTAGCGTCCCCCCCAGGAGGCCAAAATGGGGCCAAAACCCTAGTAAAACCAATGATTGGGGCTTCCTCGCCGAGGCCGTGTTGGCATTCTCGCCGCAGCAGCTGTCACAGGGGAGACGTGGTGTGACCGGGCCGACGCCATCGCCAAGAGTTATGGGACACCATTCCACTTGGTTCAGGACCTGGCGGCCGTGGATCGCTCTGATAGGGTAAAAATGCAGTGCTTTGGTGGGGCAGTGGAAGCGCGCGCGGAGGAGGAGAGCTTCTGCGAGCAGCTTGCTCTCCTGCCAGTAGTGGGCGGTGCACCGTACGCGGTTCTGGCCTCGGCGCGCTCGCCGTTCCCGTTGGGACTACAGTGGGCCCCTTGGAACCGTCGTGTTTGGAAGTGTTTCAGGGCGTGGATTGTTGCACCAGTCACTCGCTCTATTCCGCTGGTTGCGTGGGGCCGTGGTAGACTGGTCCCTGCTGTCGCGCCTTGCCCGTTATGCGAAAATAGCGAGGCTACACTGGACCACCTGCTGGCGACCTGCACCGGAACGGCGGTTTTGCGGCAGGAAATGCCCGGAAGGGGCGCTACGGCAGTTAGGCGGTGGGTGCTACAAGGGGCGCCGACGGTGGAGGACATGCTTTCTAGACTTGTGTATTTCGACCAGGTTTGCGAGGCCTTGGCAACAGCAATACCATTATTCCAGATGTTCTGGTTCCGCCGCCCCTTGGGGGGGTGGGGGCTGCGGGTTTGCTGCTGGCGCTCCTTGCCGTGCCCGTGCTGCCGGTTCGGTGCCTTGTTGCCGGGTGCTTGCGGCCGGCTGCTTCGGCCGTCGTTGTCGTTGCGGCCGTTGCTTTTGTTCTCGTCGTCGTTGTCGTTGTCGTCGTCGCCGTTGTCGCCCTCGTCGTTGTCGCCGTGGTCGTCGCCGTCGGCGGCGCCGCCTCTCCCCTTGCCCGCTCCTTGCCCCCTGTGGCGGGGCTGCACGGGAATGCGTAACAAGGGAATGCAGATGTTGGTCTCGATTCCAACTTTCCCTTCTCCGCCGCCCCTGGGGGGGCTCGGGGTGGCTGCTTTTGCTCTGCTGGTGGGGTCGCCGACGTCGCCGTCGCCCTCGTCTGCCTTGTGCTGGTGGTGGGTGTCGTCCCGTCCGCCGTCGGTGTCGGTAAGAGGGCCCTCAAGCAGCTCATAGCAGGGAAGAATCCGACGACCAAGGATTTGGTTGGTAGACCGTTCCCTGTGCACTGGCCCCTCCCAGGATACATATCCCAGACTAGACTGTCTTGCGGTTCGCTGCGGGATTGACCTTTCCGAGGCTCCGGAGGCTCGTCGGTACCGTCGTCGGCGTTGTGGGCGTCGTCGCTGTCGGCGTCGTTGTCGTCGCCGCCGCCGTCGCCTCCTTCTCTGTCCCTCTCCCTGTCCCCCTCGTCGCTTTCGTTGTCGTCGTCGCAGTCGGCCTGGCCTTTCTCCGCCCACCCCCTGCCCTGGTCGGGGCCGTGCGGACATGTGTGACAAGTGACAAAGGATATGGAGGAGGAGGAGGAGGAGGAGGGGAGGAGAAGGAGGAGGAGGAGGAGGGGGAGGAGGAGGGGGAGGAGGAGGAGGAAGAGCAACCCGGGCGTGGGAGGGTGCAGGAACGGGGGGCCCACAGGCCCTCGACGCGATCGGCGCCCCCGTCCTGGCCCGGCGGGGCCTGGCGCGCCCGCGCGCGACTGCGCGCAGCCAACTGCGAAAAGGGAAAAGGGAAAGGGAGGCAGGATGGAGGAGGAGGAGGAGGAAGAGGAAGAGGAGGAGGAGGAGGAGGAAGAGGAGGATCCGTAGCCTTTGGCTCAAGCAATTTCCCTCTCGCTCGAGAGGGGTGAGGGCTCGAGTGGCACAGCGCCTTCCTGCAATCCCTCTGCACCACCGACCTGGGCCACAGCGGGGCCGCAGAGGGATCACACGAACCTCCCCTTTTTTATTCTACACGATGGGAGGCCGTGGCAAAGGCGGGCGGAAGGGCGGCCAGGCCCCTGGAGGGGGGCAGGGCAAAGGCAAAGGCAAGTCTGATGCCAAGGCCAAGTCACCGCCGCCATCGCCGCCTCAGGAAGCAGCTCAGAGTTTCTCGTGGACTTGCGGGTATTGCGAGTCCAGCGTCAGCCTTCGTCATCAGTGGTGCTGGCAGTGTGGCACGCACTGGGAGGCTTCACATACGGCGGATCCTGGACGCCCAGCAGCGACGGCTCCAGGCCCGAAGCCCAAGAAGAGCACCGAGGAGAAGAAGATAGGCCCGAGGATCCTCAAACTTCAGCAGTCTCTGGACCTCTTGCGAGGGATGGAGTCGAAGGCCGAGGGTCGTGACGAGGCCCGTACCGAACAAGCTATGATGGCTCTCGAAGGAGTTATTGCTCAGCTTCGCCTTGATCGTGTTTCTGAAAGAACCGAGAGCCAGCTGACGCAGGCCATTTACACGAAGTTATACAAAGCCCAGCAGCAGTTAGAGCAGCATGTCGCCTACATCGAGAAGCAGCAGCAGAGCCTTGATGACTTAGAGGTGAAGCGCGCGCTGCTGGTCGCCGACATTGAGTCGGCGAAGGTCACGAAGACGGAGATGGAGTTGAAGGTCTACAATCTATTGAGGGAGCAGCATTCGGCTCTCAACGACCCTTACATGTCGCAGCTTCCTCCTGGGCTGATTCTTCCAGCTGGCAAAGGAGCAGCGATCGCAGCTATGGCACAGGTTGGACCAATTGACTCAGCTTCAGCATTCTTACAGAGTATGAGTTTCCTGCACAGTACCCTCTCGGACGAGCTGACGCAGCAGCTGAGGGCGCCCATGGAAGAGTTCGCACAGCACCTCCGCGGCATGGAGCCCAGTGGGGCGACTGCGAGCGGAGCTGGAGAGGCGCCATTACGAGCTGAAGCAGCAGAGGCTGCAGCTGCGGCGGCAGGCCGAGAGGAGGCGGCGGCAGCAGCCAGGGGGCACGGCGAGGAGTCAGCTGCGGCGGCTGATGACGCGCCAATGCCCCAGGCACCCTTGGCGGGCAGGCGCCCTGCTGAGGAGGCTGCTGAGAGCGCCGCCAAGCGCAGGAACGAGGAGGAGGCCGCAGTGGCTGGTGGGGACCCGTCGGACGGGCAACACTCAGCAGACGCGGTACGCCCGCGGTGGCTTGCAGATCCTCACGATCAACGCCAACAGTTGGTACTCTGCAAAGTCACATATTCTTGAGAGTGAGGCTCACATCGTACTCGTACGAGAAACAAAGATTGAAGGTCAAGATATGTGGGATGAGCGCGAAAAGGTTCGCAAGTTGGGCTGGAAGTCGTTCTGGGCACCCTGTGCCATAACG